CCCATGTCCCAGCAAAGGGCAATGACACTGTTAGATGCCCGCCTCCCTCCCCACGCCCCACCCTGAGGCGGTGGTAACCACGGAGCTTGATTGTTTCAGCACCTTGAGGAGCTGGACCTCGATGCCATCCTCCAGAGTCTGGTGAGACAAGAGAAGGACCATGGCGACCGTGGCGTGCCTGGAGCTGCGTGGTGGACGGCTGACCGCCAAGGCCGAGGTCTGACCTTGAACTCTGGAGACCGGTGAAGGGCCACAGGCAGCCACCCTTGGGGGTGCCCTTTGTTCCCTGTTCTTGCTCAGTCCCCCCTAGTCCTGCATTTTGATGCTACCAGTCCTTGAAGGACTGCACTCATTCTCGCCCTCCCTCATCCATTCATTCATCATACAAGTGAAGGGTTGGCCAGGCCCTGGAAACACAGGAGACCTTTCGGGCACAGCCTCTGCCCTAGACCCACCCGGTCCCCTCCTCCGCCTCCATGTCCTTGGGCTGCCTTCCTTCTCCGCCTCCCCTCTTTGGTTGTGATGGGGTGAAGGTGTCCAGCATTTCCATTCAAAGTTCACACGCGTTTGGTTTCACCTCGCCCTCCCCATCCTCACTGGTCAACATCACGTCTCCCGTTTCCTCCGTGTTCCTGGGTCTGTCTATCTTCATTCCCGACTCCTGCAGAGCTTTGGCCTCGGCAAAGGCTGCTCTTTGCATCGCAAACGTCTCTCTCTCTGTGTCTCTTTTTCTAGGGAAGAGTAGTCCTTGCCTTTTCTGTTTCCTCTGCTAGCCCCTCCACATGCCCCGTCACTCACTGGCACAGCCTCTTGGCAGGGTAATTTGGTGCCAGAATCTGTCTGGCATAGTGGTTACAAGTTGAGCTCCTAATCCCAAGGTCAGCAGTTTGAAACCTCCAGCCGCTCCATGGGAGAAAGAGGAGACACTCTATTCCCATAGAGATTTGAAGCCTCGGAAGCCCACAGGGGCAGCTCCACCCTGTCTTCCAGGGTCGCTGTGAGTCAGAATCGCCTTGATGGCTGGGGCTTTTGGGGTTCCCTCTTTTAACGATGTGTAACCCTTTGGTTGGGTGATTCTACTGCTAACCCTGTCCTAAACACACACACACACCTTCATGGTCAAAGATGCGCACTTGAGGTGCCCGGTGGCAGCGTTGTTTACGATTGCAAACCAATGGGACCAGCGGGAGTCCAGTAGAATCCTCTTTCTGAGCTGCTAGCCGCAAGGCCGGTGGTCAGAACCCCCCAGGGTCCTACTGGAGGAAACACTTGGCTGCCTGCTCCCCTAAGAGGACAGCGACCTAGCCAACCCCAGGGGACAGTTCCGCTCTACTACGTGTGGTCGCTGTAATTCAGAGCTGACTCGAGGCACCCATACTAATTCCCGAAAGCGCACACCCAGCAGGCCATGTGCTGCGAGGGGAGAGGGCAGGGTGCTGCGGCTTGTCCCCAAGCTGAGGGGCACCCATGCAAGGACACTGCCTTGTCCCAAGGCTTGGGCTGCTCTGTGTATCCTCAGAGTCCTTTGCGCCTGCTGCCCAAGACCGGCTCATGGAACAGCTTACCCTGCTGTGTGCCACGCAGTCCCGGCCGTCGGCCTCGACCTGGACGGTCCCTGTGGACAGAGCCCAGGACACCTCGGAGTGGGCGGCCAGCCACAGGTGAGGGCTTCCTGCTGACCAGGGGTGGGTTGTGATTATTGTGCCTATTGTGAGATTGCAGTAGGTTAAATGCTAGGCTGTGCTGCTGACCACAAGGTAGGTGGGTCAAACCCATCAACCACTCGGGAGAAAGATGAGGCAGCCTGTGCCCATGAAGACTTAGTTTCTTGAACCCCAAGGAGCAGTTCTTCTTTGTCCTGTAGGGTCGCTCTGAGTCGGAATCGACTCGAGGACAGTGGGATTTGCTTTTTTGTTTTTATGGTTGGAGCACTTGATGTGCGTTTTCTCTGTTAATCTCAGAGATCTAACCAGGTAGATGGTGCCATTACACCCATTTTAGAGCTAGGTGCCGGGCTCCAAGCACAACCTGTCCAGGCTCTACCTGTCAGTGCCGGGACCCAGAGCATCTGCTCTTCCTCAGACACTGTGGGTGCCTCCCTTCACACTGCCTCCTCGGAGGGCCAGTGTTACCATGGGACCCTGCCCCATGACCATCGCCCATTGGCCCAGCCATGCTGTCTGACTTCAGCCAGCCAATTAGAGTACTTCCCTGGGACTTGTCAGTCTGTCTCTAGGAAGGCAGAACGGTGGTCTGCAAGCAGGAGTCCCACTGGCTGGAATAAGGCAGGGTGTTGTAGAGGTGCAAGTGGGGTGCTGGGGTCCCCTCAAGAACACAAGGCTTTATTCGGTTAGTTAATTGTAGCTCGTCCC